ATATATATATAATATCACAAAACTTTGTTATTTTGTAACACAACAATTTTTTTATAATTACTGACTTGGAGAATATTTTAAAATCAGAATCTATCTTTCCCTTTTTTTTCAGACCACTTCCACCAGTCATATCACTATCTCAAAAGATAAATTTGTATCCTACACAATATCGGAGGGTGTAATGAAAACGGCAAATAAATCACGGATTATGCATCCTTATCAAAAGATAAGCCTAAAATTGAAGCGAATAGATCTCGTTGAAACTTTGAAAATTTCACCGCCAGAAATCCAAAATCCAGCCTCGACGAGTCTATTTGCTTTTTCAAATTTGCAAACTGTACCGGAAGACAAATAATTTGAAATATTTGTCGTGCCCCATGTTGAAGAAAATCCAGGAAACTGTTTCACAGATCTATGTATGAAAGTTAGTTACAAATGACATATATATTCAATAATCTATTATTAATATTCAATATTTTGTAATGGAATTTCTGTTTGTAAAATTTAACGTTATTTGAATATATTAAAAATATATATATGTATATGATCTAAAGTAAAATTATATTATTTTATTTATAGTTTATAAGTCGTTAAATACAATCGTAATAAAGGGTTGTTTAAGAATAATGCAGCTTGAAATTGACATTAATTCTTTGAATATCTTCTTGGTAAGTGTTCTCGCTGTATTGTCAGTGATTGTTCTCGCTACAATTCACATCCAGAGTGAACTAATTTGACTTCGTTTAAAGCTCGTGTGTAAAGAGACTTCTGCTTTTAACACAAATCTGCCTAAGAAATATATTTGTTGCTATATAAAATATAATGCGCTTTCGACAAATATGGTCACCTGCTCTTCGCCTAACAAAATGTATTTGTCATCAGAATAAATAATAATATTACTTTACAATTATAATTATAAGAATAATCTAATAGTGAAAAAAACGCCTAAAATTTAATTTAAAAAATAAAATATCTTTGAAATTAATGTAAAATATATTTGGCACAATGTCATAAATAAATGCTTTAGGATGTAATAAAAATTTTCCATTTTCATAGAATTGATTACAGTAATATTATTAACTTCAACACAAACAAAAAGATTGAAGTTAAAACGCTCTGTATATTATTATTTATACACTGAAAGAAAAGATTGGTTGCTGCAGTAGCGAATTAGATGGTTAAATATGGCATAGCATTTTTAATTGACTGCAGCAACCAATTTTTGGTTGCGTCAGCTAATTGAAATCCTATACTGACATTGCGGATAAGCTAACACAACCAACAATTGGCTGCAGCAACCAAAAATTGATTGTTGCAACCAATTAAAAATGCTATGCCATATTTTACCATCTAATTTGCTGCAGTAGCCAATCTTTTCTTTCAGTGTATTATTATGTAATTATGTATGATCATATATGTGTATGAACGTGCATACGTCATATGCGGTCATAATATACGGCATCCTGGGGTTCACTATAGACGCAAGCGCTGTTGAATATTACGCTGTTAAATTATGAGCATGTTCTGATATAAAGGAGCGTACGAGTGTAAGAGGAGTAGTATCAACGTACGTGTAGAGTGTAGCAAGGCGCATTGTCACGAGATGTACGCCAGCGTGATTCCGTACTTCCTAGGTCGGTAAGCCATTAACAAGTATAACTACTTGAATCCACGTGCTTACCATTCAATGTTGCATTCGTCTATCCAACTCCTAAAGAAAAAAAAGAGAGCAAAATGAAGCAAAACAAAAATAAATTGTCAAGGACATTGAAATATAATTATATATATCTAGATATTTATCACTAATTTAAAAAAAAACTCTTTGTAATTTGCTTTAGAGCTGTATTTTTTATTAAATGTATGCAGACTTAATTTGAGTTGAGGCTATATATCGATTTCTGGATAGTTTAATTGAGAGAAGTTCAAACAAAATTTTCTTTAAGTTTGATTCAAATTTTGAAAGCAAAAAAAGATCAAAAAAGAAAGGGAGAGAGGGGGGGGGGAGAGAGAGAGAGAGAGAGAGGATATTATATCATAATTAGAGATTTTAAAAGTTGCATTTATAAAAAATATATCTTTTTAGCGATAAATGCTAGATATTAATATTGAATAAATATTTACTTAGCCGCCTACGTAATCGTCAACGATACGTCGGAATGGACGTTCGGGCCGGAATACTCGTATGATATGAATATCACTTATGTAATAAAACCAGATCCCCACGATCATGTCCAAAAGATACAATTGATCTCTACAGTAAAATGTCGTCCTAAAACATCAGATACCATATTCTGCCATTTGTATAATATTACGATATCGGAAATATTCGAGAATTACAACATGACGCGGGAAGCACAAACGGAACAAGTATTTGAGATTAAATTTAACGAGCACGGTGTGGAAGGCTTGGTGATCGAGCCACCGTCTCGCATGGAACTCGTGAACGTTCTTCGAAAGATTGCCACTCAATTTAACGTGATTGTCGATCGGCGAAACATTGACATGTCGCAATTTATGGCCAGGGAGAACTCGACAATGGGCGATTGCGCGGCCGCGTACAAGATCATGCGTGAGGAAGCTGAAAGTGACACGATCGAGGAAATAAATACTGATTTTCGGCTCAGGATATTGCCATTGGTCGACGCGAAACCTGGGATGACTCTCTCGATCGAGAAATCTCGGATGGGATGTATTAATCCACCGCGATATGTCGATTTTTCAAGGGGAATCTTAGATATGGTATGTATGTGCGTATATCTGCACTGTTAGAAATTTCTCAATGAATTTTAATTAACATTATGTAAAGGAAGCATGTGGTTATGCACGAAATTAAATGTAATGAATGATGTAAATAAAAACTAAATTACAGTAGTCTTAAATGTGATGAACGTGTGTA